CGCGTGGACCGGGCCAAAGCCCGCTGCCCAAGACTGGCACCACATGGGGAGGGTCTCAGCGGGGAGAGGGGCGCCCTGACCTGCCAGCCTCGGTGACGATCATCTCGATGCCCAGCTGACTGAGCCTTCACCTCAAGCTGCGCTGTCACTGGCCACCCTCACCGGCACCTTGGCAGCTGCCACGCAACTGGCCGCAGCCCCAGCGGCTGCAGGTCATAGCACCCGGTCGTTCCAGGCGGTCCTTCTGCCGCATGGTCGCTGGGCTTTTATTATATAGATTCCCGGGCCATACAAAATCATCCCCTTAGAATTAGCTGCTATATTTGGTCAAACATTTAATTAGCTCACCCCAAGGCCTGGCAGGGCCAGAGCACGTGATCGCACGGGCCTTACGTGGCCCTCAGGCCGCATGTCCCTACTCCTGCTGCAGAGTGTCAGCTGTTGACCTGTGATCGGTGGCACCACGAGGGCTTCATCTGGCATGTCCCGAGCCAGAAACGATCGAACTGCGAAGTGCACTCTAGTACCTGCCTCGTGCTTTCGCACACGCACACGGGAGGGCGGGAAAGCCGCGAGTCGGGGCTGCCCGCAGTTTTGTGTGTGCCGATGCTGGGAGCGACCGTGCTCTCTGGCGGCCGCCTGGCTTGGCAAAGTTCACCTGCCTACGAAGCGTTCCAGTCACCAGCTCTCTCCTCTTCCCACACCACTGCCACCAACACCTCTGCACACCGGTGTGACGGGATAGAGTCCTAGAAGAATTACCAGCTCAAAGGACCCACGTTTTCAATGTTGATATTTATTACAAAACTGCCTCCAATAGGCTGTGTCGCTCACTCCACGCTCCCCGTGTGCCAGTTCCCACTCCCTTCACGCCCCTCCCGAGGACTCTGGGAGAACACATAACAGAACGGCTGTCCGGCTCATGCTGAACTGCACATGTAATTTGTCAGCAGAAAGGAGGCATGCATTGTAGACTGACTTCTGCCTGTGGTATTCCTGCTACCAGAGCAAAACTGTGTGTTTCCTGTCAGTCAGACCAACTAATTCAGCCAAGTTGAACTATTAATAGAAATATACATTGAGAAAACTCACATTAAAAAGATTTATTATTACAATTGACCATCATGATTACTAGCTGTCATTTAAATGATCTAAAACAAGTCCTAGCCAGTTTGGCTCAGTGGATAAAGCATCGGCCTGCATCCCGAAAGGTCCTGGGTATAACTCTGGGCAAAGGCATGTACCTTGGTTGCAAGCTCCTCCCTGGTCCAGGCCCTGGTCAGGGCTCGTGCTGGAGGCAACCAATAGATGTGTTTCTCTCTCATCAATGTTTCTGTCTTTCCCTCTCTCTTCTACTCTTCCCTAAAAATCAATGAAAAAATATCCTCAAGTGAGGATTAACAAAAAAACAAAAAATAAATGATCCTAACCAAGTGAAGCCTTTACATGTGCGTATGTCCCTTAGCCTCACCGCACCGGGTAGACGAGGTGTGGACCGCTGCAGCGCGTTCCACGGCAAGAAGAGGGAGAGCAGAGACCACATCGTGCTCTTGGACTCACTCCCCAGACCAGGCTCCCCTACACACGGGCCATGACGAGGGTAAGAGCGTTCATCCCTTCCACCCTTCAGAAAAGAAGTCTGCTCATTCATTTACTCAACAAACACACCTTGTCTCAGGCACAGGAGACAACAGAAAACAAGACAAAATTTTCACAGAACATAAAGCCACCAAATTTCAAAACTGTCTCAAAAAAATGTATTTTTAAGAAATAGTTCTCAGGGTTTTCCATAGTTTTAGGTCCTTTCCCAAGGTCTCAGTTTTCTGTAGCTAAATAGCAGATTAGTTCCATTACGTGGTTTAATGATTAACTTTAACTGGAGACCCTTTTCTCGGCAACTTAGGACATTTTTATTTAAGAATAATGTCTTCCCACAGAAAGGACAAGCAGTGCTGTGATCCTCCCTGAGCAGAGGCAAGGGAAGGCCTGCTAGCCGTAAAGTCAGACAGACCTTCTGGGCCTTAAATTCAGGAACAAGAGTCCTTCTCAGAAGAGGGGGTTGCCCTGCAAGTCCCAGACGTGAAGACCTCGGATGGGAAAGTCCACTGGCAGGGAAGGAGGGGGGTGAACTGTGCAGAAATAGGCTTCTTTTTCTGTGTTAAAAACACAGACTTTCGAGACGGCCCCGGTGAAGTTGAAACGGCCCCGGTGAGGCCGGGACAACACCGGTGAGGTCGGGACAGCCCCAGTGAGGTCGAGATGGCCCCGGTGAGGTTGGGACGGTTCTGGTGAGGTCGAGACGGCCCCAGTGTAGTTGAAACAGCCCCAGTGAGGTCGGGACGGCCCCAGTGAGGGTGAAACGGCCCGGTGAGGCCAAAACGGCCCCGGTGAGGCCGGGACAACACCGGCGAGGTCGGGACAGGCCCAGTGAGGTCGAGATGGCCCCGGTGAGGTCAGGACGGCCCCGGTGAGGTTGGGACGGTTCTGGTGAGGTCGAGACGGCCCCAGTGTAGTTGGACACTGGGGGGTAGGGGAGGCTGGGGGAAAGTCAAGGGGGGGGGAAGGAGACATACGTAATACTCTTTGTAATACTTTAAGAAATAAAAATTATTTAAAAAAAAAACAACAAAAACCCACAGCCTTTACTCTTTTTTTTAAACTGGGTTGCCTTTATTGTTGAATTTAACAGTTCTTTCTATATCCTGGATACCAGACCCTGAGCAGATCTTGGCTTTGCAGATAATTTCTCCCATTCTGTAGGTTGTCTGTTCACTTTCTTTACAGTGCTCTTTGAAGCACAAAGTTTTTAATTTTGATCAAGTCCAGTTTATTTACTTATTTATTCATTTAAAAAATTTTTTTATCCTCACCCAACGAGTGCTGAAATTTTTTCACTGATTTTAGAGAGAATGGAAGGGTGGGGAGGAAAGGAAGAGAGAGAAGTATCGATGTGACAGAGACACATCAATTGGTTGGCTCCTACACCAACTCCAACTGGGGGCAGGGATTGGACCTGCAACTCAGGTACCTGCCCTTGACAGGGAATCGAACCCACAACCCTCCAGTTCGCAGGCCTGTGCTCTAACCACTGAGAAACGTTGGGCTTAGGTTGCTGTCCTTCCATTATGCTCAGAAACCAGTCTAAACCAAGGTCATGAAGAGCTAACTTAAAAGTTTTGTACCTAACTTTACACCTCAGAGACGTGCTCTGGGAGTTCTATGGCTTTCACTCTTCCATTGAAGTGTTCGATCCATTTGGATGATGCTTTGTGTGTGGTGTGAGGTAAGGGCCAGCTCCATTCTTTTGCATGTGGACGTCCAGCTGTGCCTGCAGTCTCTGGAAAGGTGACTCTCCCCAGAGGTGTCATAGGCTGTGGTAAGTCAGCTGACTGCAAACGGATGGGCTGGCTCCTGCATCAGTCCCAGCCCACTGATGGGGTGACTGTCCTTATGCCAGCACCACGCGGCTTCTCTCATCAGTTATTAGTTTCTGCAGAAAGGGGAGCTAGGGTTTCGCTCGGGATTATAATGAACCTACAGATCATGGTGGGGAGTGTTGTCATCTTAAAAATATCAAGTCTTCTAATCCATGAACATGGGAAGTCTATTTAAGTTCTTCAATTCCTTTCAATGATGGTTTTAAGTACAAAAGTCTTGCACTTTTTATATTTACTCCTCTTTCTTTTTGATGCTGTTGTAAATGGAATTGCTTTCTTAATTTCACTTTGGATTTTAATTGCTAGAAATGCAATTGAATTTTGTATGGTGACCCAGTGTCCTGCAACCTTGACAAACTCATTTATTAGTTTTTTCTCCCTAATGTATGTGTGGATACCTTAGGATTTTCTACATACAAGTGCTATGGTCTGCATGTGTCCCCTCAAAATTCCTATGTTGAGATCCTACCCCCCAGTGTGACAACAATGAGATGTAAGGCCTTTGGGAGGTGCTTAGATCACGAGGAGGGAGTCCGTGCGAGTGGGATCAGGGCCCTTAGGAAGGAGGCTCCGGAGAGCCCCACGTGAGGACACACAGTGAGACGGTGCCAGCTATGAGCCAGGGAGAGGAGCATTTATAAGAAAGTAACGATTTTAACAAACTTGTTCTATTTATCCAACTATATAAAAATGACTCGGCACTCTAATTACAAAAGTAAGTTATTTACAAATCTTATCTCTAAAGAAGAAAACACACCTCATTAATGAAGAACGAGTTTAAGACTAACTGTCCGCGCTCTCTTCGGTCCTCGTCAGGAGAGACTTCATATTCTGCCTGAGCGCAGAGACGACAGGAAAGAATGTTAGCTGCGCTCCTCACGGGTGTCAGGCGGCTGCAAACCTCTGGCTCTGGAGCTGACTGGCAGCCACGCCCAGAGCAGCCCCCTGTGCCAGGGCCTCCTGAGCGCTGACGGTTAATGACACAGCAGAGCAGCACATTCCATGATGCTCGGTCTTATACGTTCAGCCACGAACTGTGGCCAAACAAATAAGCAGCTCACAGAAGTGCCCAGCAGGTACCTGGACACCTGAGTGCAGTTCCCAGGAACTCAGTCAGCCGCCACAGGGACCAGGGGAGAGACTGTCACAGGGACCCAGCCAGCCGCCACAGGGACCAGGGGAGAGAATGTCCCATGATGCTCGGTCTTATACGTTCAGCCACGAACTGTGGCCAAACAAATAAGCAGCTCACAGAAGTGCCCAGCAGGTACCTGGACACCTGAGTGCAGTTCCCAGGAACTCAGTCAGCCGCCACAGGGACCAGGGGAGAGACTGTCCCAGGGACTCAGTCACCCACCACAGGGACCAGGGGAGAGACTGCAAGAACAGACAACGCCACACAGGCCAGAGGAGAGGAAACATTAAAAGCAGAACCTGCACATAAGCATAACCAATGGGCATAAGACAGTGGGGGGTAAGGGAGGCCAGGGGATTGTCAAGGGCAGAGAAAAAAAAAGGACACAAATGTAATACCCTTTGTAATACTTTAAGCAATAAACAATAAAAAAGAAAAAAGCAGAACCTGACCAATAGCTACACATCTATAAAGGACAGGCAAGGAGGAGGAAATGGAAAAAGGTAAGAGAAGAAGCAAACGAGAGGAGACCACAAAGGCCTGGCTAAGAGCGTTTCTAGAAGAAGCCACTCAAGGCCCACAGCCACAGGGACAGCAGGAGGGGCCACGAGGCAGCCCTGGGCTTTGCAAGTGGAGAACTGAGACTACAGAGCCCGAAAGCCAGATGGCGCTGAAGGGAAAGTGAGGAAAAGCAAAGTAAAGGAAGTTCATCTACTCAACACACAGAAGTACCCAGGGAGCGAGTCCTTGTGGGGGACCCCAACCTCGCCCTCCACTCTGCGCCCTTCACAGGCCCAGCGCGGGGATGCGGCTGCGCAGGCGGGTTCAGCGCGTGCTCCTGACTGGTGCGGGCACAGCGCCCACCTAAGGAACCTGCCAGCTTCCGGGATTAGTGGGAAGGAAGCACTGTGTTCCGGGACAGTCTTTGGATGTGGGCAGGAACAACCAGCTACTCAAACACAAATGCACCGCTGCTGCGATGGTGAGTACAGGGCGGCTCAAGTCTGCATCGCTGGCTGCACGAGGGAGACTCGCCCAGACAGCCCGGTGGGCCTGGCTCCTCCGCTGAAGGTCTTAAAAAAGAAGAGCGGAGTCTTCCTGGAAGAAATTTCTGTCTAAAAGAGCGGCTTCACCCCATTTCAGAGTCCCGCCCTGCCTTCCCAACAGCCTGCCTTACAGCGGGCAGACGCTCCCAGCCAGACCTCATGGCCAGGAAAGCCAATTCCTCTTAGTAAATCTCTTCACATCTAACTCCTAATGGCCATGTTCCTTTCACTGAGCCTGACTGATACAGATGTCATAGATCTCTGAACTCCTAAAATATAGCAGCTTGGCCCGAACAGATTTGGCTCAGTGGATAGAGTGCCAGCCTGCAGACTGAAGGGTCCCAGGTTCAATTCTGGTCAAGGGCATGTGCCTTGGTTGTGGGAACATCCCCAATAGGAGGTGTGCAGGAGGCAGATGATTGATGTTTCTCTCTCCATATACTAAAAAAAAAAGAAGAAGAAAAAAAAAAGAATGTCTAAAATATAGCAGCTTGGCAAATATGACCCAACTAGAGGCCCAGTGCACAAATTCGTGCACAGGTGGGGTCCAGCTGGAGGGGGGGGGGCGTCGAGGGGGGTTGGTACGCCCCACCCCCTGGTCAAACTCCCGGTTGAACTCCCGGTCGAGGGGACAATTTGCATGTTAGCCTTTTATTATATAGGATATATTAGACATACCACATGCTACTGGAGCCAAGTAGGCAGCCCCACTGCATCAGAATTCTACCTTTAAAAGGTAATTGCCTGCCGAAACCGGTTTGGCTCAGTGGATAGAGCGTCGGCCTGCGGACTGAAAGGTCCCAGGTTCGATTCCGGTCAAGGGCATGTACCTGGGTTGCGGGCACATCCCCAGTGGGAGATGTGCAGGAGGCAGCTGATCGATGTTTCTCTCTCATCGATGTTTCTAACTCTCTATCTCTCTCCCTTCCTCTCTGTAAAAGATCAATAAAATATATTTTAAAAAAAAGGTAATTGCCTCCTTTACAAGCCTCGTCTTTTTCTAGTAAAGGTACCAGGAAGGAAACAGGGAGCCCCAGGGAGTAGGGAGCAAACAACAAAATAGTCAAGAGCCTCAAGTGTTTTTCTGAAAGAATACATTATAAACACGTGTATTTTAGAAGCTACGTCAGAGAAAAAAGTGAGTAAACACTCAATGACGTAAGATAGTGCTCTAGGTATAGGAAGTAGTCAATACATATTTGCTAATACACCCAGGACAGAGAAAGTGCCCTAGGTTTGGTAAGAGAGCTTTTCTGCTAGATTTTACCAATTTTCTACTGTTAAGTTGCCTTCTGAATTTCAGTTTCAAGCTTCTACACTTGCCAGAGCTCTCTCTCCATATTCAGAAACACAGGATTTCTTACCTATCAGGAAATGACAAACCTGAGAATGTGGAACAGTTTATAAGTCACAGAAACGCCACTCGCCCTGACTATCCTTCTTACACTAAGTTTACTGCCCCGTATGCTCCAGGGCCAGTGCAGGAAGCAGACAGCACCTGCTATGACTGAGGAAGGCTACCTCTCAGGGGCTGCCCATACGCACACGGTCTTCATGAGCTGTCCAACCTTCTCACAAATTAAAGCAGCAAGTTTCAAAGTTACTCGCTAAGCACAGGTGCCCTCCAGGCCTGGGATGCAGTCCTGCGAGTGGCCGCTTTCTGCCACAGGAGTGAGAGGTGGGGGCCACTCCCTCCCGCTCCCCCCACTGCCCAACTAACTCAGGTCCCCTCCAGCACAGAGCAGCTGGGTCACCACAGAGAAACCGCTCACCACCGCGTCCAGGAACTCAATGCACCGCTTCAGGCTGTGCTGGGTGTTACAGAACTGCCGGAAGAGGAGTCTTCCTATCGGCTGCTTGTCGCACAGACTGCTGTAATCCTTTTCTGGGTGAAGAAAGGAGGAAATATAATGGTTACAATTCAGAAAATGCTATTTCTGAACCTTACACACCAGATACAATAAGAGTCAAAAATTGCATTTGCAGCATTTTTTAGGTCACTGTTTGGTCTACCCATTTAGACTGGCCTATCGTGACGAATATCTGAAATCCCTAAACAGAGCCAAAGGCCGCTGGAAGAACTGGCAACTAAGGTGTGTGAAGCTGCTGGGTCATCCTGCTCCCCAAAGGAAACACGCGGGGGGCAGTGTTCCCGAGGGGACCAGGCAGGGAGGTGCCCGAGACAAGTTACATGCGCGAGAAATACACCGCAGGAAGGCGCTGAATTAGACTCCCGAAACCCTTTCCATTTGGCTACCTTTCCATACGTTCACAAGCAACAAATACTGTTAATGCTTCATGATTTCTTAAGTGCTCTTGGGACCTTTTTTCCTTGTCTTCTCAGAGAAATAATATGTTGTCCACCTTACCTTACCCTAAACACTAACACTGTTTTGAGAACAAGGCACTAATATTTGGTCCAAGGGTCAAGGGGGTATAAACAAACACGTTCAAACAGGTTAATTTAAACTTCGGCGAGAAAATCAGCTGCCTGTTAGCAGTGACTTTGAAGCTGAAATGAACATAACCATGTTCAGTACTTCTGCAATGGCTCTAAGCTGAACAATGAAATGAAATTCATGAAAAGCAAGCAAGCCATGACCAACTCCTCAGCTGCGGGGGAGACGCCAGGGACGCAGGGAGCTACGCCGTCCGCTCTGGACCACTTAGCTCACACACAACACAGGCAAGGGAGACACTTGGGGCCCAGGGCACAACCACGGTGCCCACAACTTCAGCAAAGGTGTAAAAGTCCCACAGCCCGCTGTGTCCATTTCGCTACATTTTATTTTTAGGGAATATATTTATTCCCTAAATAACTAACTATAAAAAATATATTTATTTTTTTATCATTTATTTACTTACTTACTTGAAGCTCGACGCATGAAATTTGTGCAAGAGTACACCTTAAGCCCCCCCACCCCCTACCCCCGGCTGCCAGCACCAGCTTCCCTCTGGCACCTGGGACCCCGGCTTCCCTCCGGCCACCGGCAGGCACCTGGGCTTCCCTCCCAGCCCCGGCTTCGTCTGGAAGGTCGTCTGAAAGGACATCCAGAAGGACATCTGGTCTAATTAGCATGTTATGCTTTTATTATTATAGATTTTTTATTTTAATCCTCACCAGAGGATATTTTTCCATTGATTTTTAGAGAGAGTATAAGAGAAAAGGAAAGACAGAGAGAAATATCATGTGAGAGAAGCACATCGATCTGTTGCCTCCTGCACAAGCCCCGGCCAGGGCCCGGCCTGGGGAAGAAGCCTACAACCCAGGTACATGCCCTTGACCAGAATTGAACTTGGAACCTTTGGGTCCAAAAGTCAACGTTATATCCACTGAGCCAAACCAGCCAGGGACTTACTAACTACAATTTTAAAAAAGACATGAGGTGGTCCAAAAATGATGTTCCTTAAAAGTTATGTTTTGCCCTAGCCAGTTTGGCTCAGTGGATAGAGCATCGGCCTGCGGACTGAAAGGTCCCAGGTTCGATTCTAATCAAGGGCAGCTACCTTGATTGCGGGCACATCCCCAGTAGGAGGTATGCAGGAGGCAGCTGATCAATGATTCTCTCTCATCAATGTTTCTATCTCTCTCTCCTTCTCCCTTCCTCTCTGAAATCAATACAAGAAGTATATTTTTTAAAAAGATATAAGTTTTTGCCCTGGCCGGTTTGCTCAGTGGTGTCAGCCAGTGAACTGAAGGGTCCTGGTCAAGGGCATATACCTCGGTTGCAGGCTTGATCCCTGCCTGGATGTGAAAGGCAACCACTCTCTCATACTGATGCTCCTCCCCCCCCTCCCCACCCCTTCCACTTTCTCTAAAAATCCATGGAAAAATATCCTGGGGTGAGGATTACACACACACACACACACACACACACACACACACACACACACGCCAGTTTTTAACGCTTTGCTTCCAAATCTGAAGGTTAAACACTGTCCCTAGCTTCCCGGTGAGGCGGCAGATGAGCACACAGGCAGGCCGATCTCCCTCCCAGATCCCTGTGGAAAGTGCTACAAGTTAACACAACAGCAGCCATGACGCCTCCCGTGGGAAGAATACAGGGTGCCCTCACGAGTCAGAACATGAAGTTACAGGAAGAGAGCTGCTGGGGTCCGAGCTAAAGGAACATCAGCTGAGACCCCAGAGATAAGCTGGGGCTCCCACAAACCTCTATCACGGGAGCCCCTCCCCCCCTGGTCAGAATGGCTGGACCCACTTTACAGAAAGTGGGTGTCTGCCCAGAGATCCTGGGACCCCGCCGTGAGAGGCAGAGCCCGGCTGAAGGAACTAAAATGTTGGCCAAGCCAAGGGATTGTGTGTGCAGCCTCCGGACCCCCACTGGCGCACCCCCCAACCAGAACGAGAGAGAGAGAGAGAGAGAGAGAGAGAGAGAGAGAGAGAGAGAGAGGACGCCCCGCAGGAAGCACAGCTCCGCAACCACGAGGGAAGCCACGCTGGCCGTGAGCAAACAAACGCAGCCGTGACCACAAACCCGAATAAACCGAAAACCTTACTCAGTTCCATCACTATCCAACGAGAAGACAAAAATGGGGGCATTTCCCAAAATGTAAGAACTCACTTACCTGCCCAGGTCTGCAGGACCCCCCCGGGGGTGCAGACAGTGCGCAGCGCTTTCCCCTCGTGCCCCAACCACCCTCGCCTGCCTCAGGGCACAGGAGACCGACACAATCCGGCACCGGCTTTAATTCTCAGGATAATCTAGGGCCCAAGACTCACAGAAGATGAGTGACTGACCCCACAAGCAGTTCAGAGGCTGAAAGGCGGACATGGAGGCAAATATAGAGGCAAATGAAGCTTAAAATTTTGTTTTTAAAACCAGGGTCAGATTTCCAATAGCCTGAGGCCTACAGAAGAGCTTCTCTCGACCCTCTAAGGAGTCTGCTACCGGGGGGGACAGTGGGCGAACAGGCGGCTCTGCAGCTGGGGGGCCAAGAGGCAGGAGGAGCACCGTCCCTGGAGAGGAGTGAGCAGAGCTGGAGGCAGGAGGGAGGAGGGAGGAGGGAGGAGG